CAAGGTCAAAATTAATTAACCCTTTTACAACAAATTTAGTTTGATCAATTAAATACATAGATTTGAATTGCATGCTTTAAAAATATATTCAGTTATAATTTACGCTTTTTTTTTTATGATAAAAAAAAATATAGAACACACTAGTTCAAGACATTGAGTCAATGTTATTGATGGTTTTATAGAACGTGTATGAGTCCAATGTGCGAGGATCGCGGTAGGGACACAGGGACAGGTCCCACAACCTGGTTGGGGCATGATATGATTGGTGCCCACTAGTTTGTGTGGCTCATATGATTATCAAAATACATTGTGATCTCTAATTCGTCTAATTAACTCTGTAAATGCGCATAAATGGTGTTCTGGCGATCGAGGGACAAATATTCAAACCAACTTCATCAATAGATCTATGCCCACGATGTCCCCTTTTACACTTCACTGACTACATACTTTATTTATTGGCCATCATTCAAAATATTTATTTTATAATCTAGTACAGATACTCTCCCTTTAACATCCTAGGCAGAAAAGGCAGAAAAGTCAAAAAGTTGCAGGATGAAATATTACCCAAACTCTTTAGTTTAATTGAGAAGATGTTGGTTGACAATTCTGATGGAAATGGTTTTCTTGTCGGAAAACAAGTAAGTCAAATATCAATGTACTATATTTATAATGATATTTTATTATCAATCAAAGAAATATTAAAACAGAACATGAAACATGTCTTTACTCATGTTAACATGTTTTACGCTATACGAGCTTGTCTGGAATGAGATGAGATGAGAAAAAGTTCTACTCGTAGGCTATGTATGTGTATAAGCAACTATGTATGTCTATGAGCAACTTGTAAACTATGTATGTGTATGAGCAACTTTGTAAACTATGTATGTCTATGAGCAACTTGTAAACTACGTATGTGTATGAGCAACTTTGTAAACTATGTATGTCTATGAGCAACTTGTAAACTATGTATGTCTATAAGCAACTTGTAAACTATGTATGTGTATGAGCAACTTGTAAACTATGTATGTCTATGAGCAACTTGTAAACTGTGTATGTCTATGAGCAACTTGTAAACTATGTATTTCTATGAGCAACTTGTAAACTGTGTATGTGTATAAGCAACTTGTAAACTATGTATGTGTATGAGCAACTTGTAAACTATGTATGTCTATGAGCAACTTGTAAACTATGTATGTGTATGAGCAACTTGTAAACTATGTATGTCTATGAGCAACTTGTAAACTATGTATGTCTATGAGCAACTTGTAAACTATGTATGTGTATGAGCAACTTGTAAACTATGTATGTCTATGAGCAACTTGTAAACTATGTATGTGTATGAGCAACTTGTAAACTGTGTATGTGTATAAGCAACTTGTAAACTATGTATGTGTATAAGCAACTTGTAAACTATGTATGTCTATAAGCGAATTGTAAACTATGTATGTGTATGAGCAACTTGTAAACGATGTATGTCTATGAGCAACTTGTAAACTGTGTATGTCTATGAGCAACTTGTAAACTATGTATGTGTATGAGCAACTTGTAAACTGTGTATGTGTATGAGCAACTTGTAAACTATGTATGTGTATAAGCAACTTGTAAACTATGTATGTGTATAAGCAACTTGTAAATTATGAATGTGTATGAGCAACTTGAAACTATGTATGTGTATAAGCAACCTGTAAACTATGTATGTGTATAAGCAATTTCTAAACTATGTATGTGTATAAGCAACTTGTAAACTATGTATGTCTATAAGAAACTTGTAAACTATGTATATGTATAAGCAACTTGTAAACTATGTATGTCTATTAGCAACTTGTAAACTATGTATGTCTATAAGCGAATTGTAAACTATGTATGTGTATGAGCAACCTGTAAACTATGTATGTGTATGAGCGGCTTGTAAATTATGTATGTCTGTAAGAAACTTGTAAACTATGTATGTCTATAAGAAACTTGTAAACTGTGTATGCGTATGAGCAACTTGTAAACTACGTATGTGTATAAGCAACTTGTAAATTATGTATGTGTATAAGCATCTTGTAAACCATGTATGTGTATAAGCAGCTTGTAAACTATGTATGTCTATAAGCAACTTGTAAACTATGTATGTCTATAAGCAACTTGTAAACTGTGTATGTGTATAAGCAACTTGTAAACCATGTATGTGTATAACCAGCTTGTAAACTATGTATATGTACCAGCAACTTGTAAACTATGTATGTGTATAAGCAACTTGTAAACTATGTATGTCTATAAGCAACTTGTAAACTATGTATATGTATAAACAGCTTGTAAACTATGTATATGTATAAACAGCTTGTAAACTATGTATGTGTATAAGCAGCTTGTAAACTATGTATGTGTATAAGTAGGTTGTAAACTGTGTATATGTATAATCAGGTTGTAAACTGTGTATATGTATAAACAGCTTGTAAACTATGTATGTGTATAAGCAGGTTGTAAACTATGTATATGTATAAGCAGGTTGTAAACTATGTATGTCTATAAGCAGGTTGTAAACTATGTATGTGTATAAGCAGGTTGTAAACTATGTATATGTATAAGCAGGTTGTAAACTATGTATGTCTATAAGCAACCTGTAAACTATGTATGTGTATAAGCGGCTTGTAAACCATGTATGTGTATAAGCAGGTTGTAAACTATGTATATGTATAAGCAGGTTGTAAACTATGCATGTGTATAAGCGAATTGTAAACTATGTATGTGTATAATCAGGTTGTAAACTGTGTATATGTATACGCAGCTTGTAAACTATGTATGTGTATAAGCAGGTTGTAAACTATGTATGTGTATAATCAGGTTGTAAACTATGTATGTCTATAAGCAACCTGTAAACTATGTATGTGTATAAGCGGCTTGTAAACCATGTATGTGTATAAGCAGGTTGTAAACTATGTATATGTATAAGCAGGTTGTAAACTATGCATGTGTATAAGCGAATTGTAAACTATGTATGTGTATAATCAGGTTGTAAACTGTGTATATGTATAAGCAGGTTGTAAACTATGTATGTGTATAAGCAGCTTGTAAACTGTGTATGTGTATAAGCAGGTTGTAAACTATGTATGTGTATAAGCAACTTGTAAACTATGTATGTCTATTAGCAACTTGTAAACTATGTATGTCTATAAGCGAATTGTAAACTATGTATGTGTATAATCAGGTTGTAAACTATGTATGTGTATACGCAGCTTGTAAACTATGCATGTGTATAAGCAACTTGTAAACTATGTATGTGTATAAGCAACTTGTAAACTGTGTATGTGTATAAGCAGGTTGTAAACTATGTATGTGTATAAGCGAATTGTAAACTATGTATGTGTATAATCAGGTTGTAAACTATGTATGTGTATACGCAGCTTGTAAACTATGCATGTGTATAAGCAACTTGTAAACTATGCATGTCTATAAGCAACTTGTAAACTATGTATGTGTATAAGCAACTTGTAAACTATGTATGTCTATTAGCAACTTGTAAACTATGTATGTCTATAAGCGAATTGTAAACTATGTATGTGTATAATCAGGTTGTAAACTATGTATGTGTATACGCAGCTTGTAAACTATGCATGTCTATAAGCAACTTGTAAACTGTGTATGTGTATAAGCAGGTTGTAAACTATGTATGTGTATAAGCAGCTTGTAAACTATGTATATATATAAACAGCATTAGATTTTGCGTTCTGAGCAGTGGCGCCCTGCGAAAAATTGCGACTTTTTCTATCAGACCATAAGCAACCTAAAATAGCAACCTGCATCAACAAGAGACTACAAAGTGTCTTTCAAAGATGCTCCATGACGCCGACGACAGAAAAATGTTAAGGGAAGTAATTCTTTAAATCAATCGACTTTGGCATCGTTGTCGTGATCGTGATTTTTTTTTTACCATTAATTGTGTGCTCCATTTTATGTTGATGAGAGATGAAATGGAGTTGTTATGGAGATGAAAATGTATTATTGTGATTTTAATCAGAAAATGTGAAGAAAAAAAAGCAAAAAAAGAAATATTTGTTTCCTTTCCTTTTTAAAATATCTTTAATTCCTTAATATTGATGACAACAAAAATCCGTCTTATTGACTAGTTTCGTTTCGTAGTATGAATATCTCCAATCCTTAAATTTAACAATTCTTGTTTTAGCGCATTTTTGATTTAATTTATTAACTTTAACCGAACTGTCCCATCTTCCATGTCCACCAGTTTCCCCATTTGATTTTGACCACTGGTACCTAAGTCTCAGAAGCGGAAGTTTTTATTAGCTTAATCAATCAGTAATATTGTTCACAACTCATCGTGAAATTGGAGCTTTCTGTCTGTCCAGAATTATCCGCGTTTGAAAGTTAAAAACACGAGTCGTCTTTTCTTGAGACACTGCCATAAAAATAGAAAAGACATCTATAGAAATAGGAAAAGAAATTTCCTGTTTGAGATATTTTTGAAGGAATTATGCTATTTGCGCTTGATGATGATATTTCCAACTAGGTCTAGAGATAGAACGCACGAAAGAGCTGGTCTTATTCCCTCATTGTACACTGCATTGCGTTGCTCATTTTCATTACCCCAGTCAGGTGCCGGACGTAAAACTCCATTCATTTTATTTTGTCCTAGACGCCATAGCAGTGGTGTCACAGGAATCGATGTGAATCTACAAATACCCATGTCGCCTTTGCATTTTCTGAGATGAGATCGAAATGAACTGGTGTTTTAAGTCTTTTCTGCACATGATTACCTAAAACACATAGAGTGTGCGATGAATAAAGTATTGCGAGGACAGCGGCATAAGCCTTATTTTCCAATAGTCGAGGGTTTTAACGTGTACATCCTGTAGAACACAGTTGGGGCGGTGGTCTATTGTTCGAACGACTAGAAATCTGTTCATGTCAACCACTATAACCATATTAGAAAACTCTAACACGATGTAATAAAATACAACATACAACATCAATATCGTTTAATATCAAGGTGATCTATTCTAATTCTTTACACAAACAACACACGCCAGGATTTCATTGTGTTTATACGGTGGAAATTTGAGACCATGTCCAGCATATGCGCTGACAGGGTAGATCAACTTTCCGTCTCTATTTCGATCACCACCCGGAACAGCTGCTGGCTCATCATCCACGCAAATGAACTGTGAGGCTGCAGGGTGACCATAATACCCAGATCCTAGGAAACCATTATAAGCAACAGACCATCCAGAATAGCAGGATTTCTTTGCTGGAATCATTAGGGCCGGACTACTGCTACCCGGTTCGAGACAAACAGCGCATGGAACATCCTTGTCTATCATGTTTCTAAATTGATACTCTGCGCCATAGACATAGGTGATTGTTTTTTTACTAATTCCTGAGACGAAATCCGGGTCTTTAGGTAAACAGATGTACTCGGCAGCACCGCCAGGGTGATTGAAATACGAACCGCCAGCGTATCCTAAAAGAGAAGAACGAAAAAAAGTTGTTAAGACACATTTCGCCTAATTTGTACTGCATCGAAAATCCCGGATGCCATATCATACACTGGACAGCAAATAGATTAAATGCTACCCGAGGAAAATACTACGATACGTGAAATCATCGATACAATTTGATCTTGAAGACCGAATACAATATGTAGGGATCTCACCATTATGCGGAATATATTCGCTTATACTCTACAATATCGATAATCTCTCAACGCACTGCATCTAATAACTGAAGTAGGAGTTTCGACAAGATGCGGACTCGATTTGTATATTTTTGTTAACATAACTCGATACATCGTACCTCGTCTATTCAGACATTGAAATCGATGACAAGCTCTCTTCCATTGCACCATCAATAGATAACTAGACGTATAAAAAAATCTGAAGTCTACTAGGAGTTCAATCCACCCCATTTGTCTAATCGAACGTCTTCAATAACCTAACTATCAACAGGCTAGCCTACAGAATAGTTTTAAAATATACTCACCAGCGTACACCAGAGTTGAACTTCCAGAGCAATCTTCCCTGCCCCATCGAGTATAGACAGCTCCGGACAAACAGACAGTCGCCAATATAACAGCTACTTTAATGAACATCATGCTGAAAAGTTTTTCCGTGATGAATACTGGCAGATTCTTGAGGCTTATATAGCAATTCTTGAACATGAATTTCCATATCATTAAATTCTATTACGAGTCGTTATTTTGATAAGATCCATAATAATATCATTTCAGCTCGCGTCAAGGTTGTCCAGGTTATTTAGAATAAGATCAAACTTTCGCTCTGTTTTTTTTTAATTGCGTGGCAAATCGATTTATATATTTAACACAGTTTGTAATGCCTTCAATTTTATTTACTTATGCTGGTCATCGTCTGTAGAAAACAAAATAGAAATGAAATTTCCGTTGTGATCGCTTTTCTAAAGACAAGTTTTAAAGAGAACTCTAATAAATCAAATCTTTGCGCGACAGGAAGTGGCGTATTGAATAATATACAAAATATTGCTTTGGAGCCTGCAGAGATTATTTCTAGACCGATTTACTTCGCATTTTCTTTATTATGTTGTCACTTATGATAGGCTTGAAAACACTGAAGTTTTTAAATCTAACAGGCCAGAAGTTTCAAAAGGTTCAAAATCCATGGAATATGGTCTCGTTGCCACGCTCAGAGATTTTCACCGTTCTAGTTAGCTTTTATTTTAATATAGTCACTTCAGTTAGGGTCTAACGACAGCTCTCTCAAACGTTCGTCACAATAACCTTTTGACCGAACTCTATGACATGTTTATCGAGTCAAAAGATTAATTTGACGAGCGTTCAAAAGGGCTGTCCTTAAACCAAATCTGAAGTGTCTATTTTTAAAATCAAAGCCATTAGAAAACCGGAACGAAAGTTTGGTCGAATTTTGATTAGACTGCAATTTTGTCGCGCATGGTTTGGCTTTTCTCATTAAACTTGAAAATGTCACATGATGTTTATTTCTATAGCATGAGGGCGGTTGACCTGAACATTTTATCTTGGTCCGATACATTTTATTAAATTATAAATCAATTAGTTAAATGAATAGTTTGAGAGGGGGGAGTATATCAATATGAATATGAGGAAACATCTGCCTCTATTCCGGCCTCTATTTTGACAGTTGTCGAATGTTGTAGATACAGAAAAACTGAGCTCTGTTTTCTCGGTATTTCTCGCACCTCTGATGGTACGGGGTTTTTAAAACATATTTATCATCATTATTCCTCCATGCCATGTATGTCTCGTCTGTGGTTCGATCAAGTTTATTTTTAACAAAACTAAACTTTCGCCGGCCATTTCAGATTGCGTGCTCAACCAATAGTTCTAATGTCACTGTCATGCAACCAAAACGAAAGTTACGGCGATACCCAACACTAATTTCGATTGGACGACATTTAGTTATGAATACATAATTATTCTCACTTGTATTACCATGGTCTCGAGAAAGTATGACGATGATTGACTACATTTTATTTTCACCATGGTAATTTAAAAAAGACAAGACAACTCATTAGACGAGGTCAGTGGTGTATTAATGCGGTAATGTTTGGGCCACGCCACTCCCCCCCCCCTCTCTCGGGCCATACAAAATGGAGAAATTATTACTTTAACGCTAAGTGGGAGACCCCCCCCCCCTCCCCCGCCCACCCCCTGATCTCCAATTTAGAGAACAATAAGGTATAACTTCATGTTATTTCATGCTATATTAGAAATTGAAGTAATTATAGTTGATAGTCTAATGTATTCAGGTATAATTGATAATTTGGTAAGTATGATATGACCAACATAGCAGTTCAAATTCACGCCGTTTTAATTTTGTTAGAATTTTCTTTGGGTGTTATTAATGTAGATCATTATTCATTCCATTTGAACAACTCCTCACAGATGCTGCCATAAAAAAGTCGAGTAAAGACATCCAACTTACTGAGGATAGGACTACGGTGGAAAAGTATATAAATCTAAGATACTAAGCCATCAAAACTTCACCTTTTGAAATGGTTCTTTTTCCTTTGAAAAATCACACCGAAACAAAAATTATAAAACAAGGAATAAGAAGAATATTCTGGCAAAAAATGTTTGAAATTTGCTTTTTTTCAGAAAAAAGGGAAATTATTCACATTACTAGCAAATCCCTGGGCCCCACAAAACATTTCCCATGCTCAGCTTAGTTTTTACTCAGATTTATAATGACCCTGACATCATGAAAAAAGTTTAATTTGAAGATGAATATCAAAATTCCAGAAACATTGATATTGATTGATTGATTGATATATTTTTCTTTGATACATCAGTCATACCATAAACTTCACAGTCTTTATCTTGAAGGCTCTGATTAGCTGTACAATCCAATTAAATTGCTGCATTCGTGAACAACGAAAAAGTCAAATGAAGTAATTTGTGAAGATGCTAATATTCCGAATTAGAAGAAAATTCTTACCCACTTTTGCAAACTTTCTATTTCTAGTTATCTAATCGAACAAAACATTACTTGTTCTAGGTGGGTGTCTTGTTCTCAAAGATTCTGTTTGGTTTCACGACAAGTTATCTTAGTATGGTAAAACAACAAATTGCTGACAATAGACCCTGACTTTCCTTGTACACATATTTTAAGCAATTTATTTCTTATAAATATCAAAGGAAAACGTGCAATTTATGTTACAAGATTTGATTAATCCATCACCGAGACGCGGGAAAAACTATTCTGCTGCCGATTATCGCCGCGCATTTGATTTGATTCAAAGACCACAACTAATTTCCAAATTGGCCAAATCTTGATTTAGTGATAAAATGTATTTTCATGTATCAGGAAATAAAATCATGCTTTCGTCACAAGTCAGAATTTCCCACATATTTTTCAAAACGACATTGGTTTGATGCAAGGTGAACCTCCATTCCCCTTTTTATTTCCATTATACATAAATGATCTTGAGAACGAACTCATTTTAAGCTCTGGAGAACCTGTATATTATACACCTTTTAACAATGTATCGGAATCGATTATTGGACTGCAGACAAATCTTGATATGGTCCATAGAGATAAAAATTGAGAAAACAAAAATTGTAGTTTTTAGAAAGGGGAATAAACTGCCGAAACATTATTGGTTACTCGGTTATATAACACGAAACTTTAGTTTGTTTCTTACATGGAAATATCACAGACGAATGTAGTTCACAACCACTTAATAAGTCGAATTTCTTAAGGAGGCCTAATATTTCAGCAAAACCTTCAAATCATATTTAAAACCATTTCTAAACGTGTCAATGAGATTTGGGGACGTTGTTGAAATATTGCAGCCTTTTTCAAAAATTCGACTGTGGTTGGAAATGGTTGTGAACTATGCGTGTATTTTTACCACGTAGAATTGGATTGTTTTAATTATGTGGGGGTAAGTTCATCACATGTGAGAAAGTGCATCACATGGGAGAAAGTGCATGTTTAATCGTTAGTAAACAGGGTTAGTACTTGTATTGGGTTTTTCTTTGGACAAGACTTCACAGTATCGCTGTTCGTCACGATCTGTAGGCACTTGAACTTAAAATTTTACGTTTGGTTGTCTAGATGGTTAATTCGTAGCAGGTTGTTTAGGGGGTTATTTCGTAACTGATTGTGAAGGGGGTTATTTCGTAACAGATTGCCTAGGAGGCTATTTCGTAACAAGTTGTCTAGGGGTTATTTCGTAACAGGTTGTCTAGATGGTTATTTCGTAGCAGGTTGTTTAGAGGGTTATTTCGTAACCGATTGTGAAGGGGATTATTTCGTAACAGGTTGTCTAGTAGGCTATTTCGTAACAAGTTGTCTAGGGGTTATTTCGTAACAGGTTGTTTAGATGGTTATTTCGTAACTGATTGTGAAGGGGATTATTTCGTAACAGATTGTCTAGGAGGCTATTTCGTAACAAGTTATCTAGGGGTTATTTCATAACAAATTGTCTAGATGGTTATTTCGTAGCAGGTTGTTTAGGGGGTTATTTCGTAACTGATTTTGAAGAGGGTTATTTCGTAACAGATTGTCTAGGAGGCTATTTCGTTACAAGTTATCTAGGGGTTATTCCATAACAAATTGTCTAGATGGTTATTTCGTAGCAGGTTGTTTAGGGGGTTATTTCGTAACTGATTTTGAAGGGGGTTTTTTCGTAACAGATTGTCTAGGAGGCTATTTCGTAACAAGTTGTCTAGGTGTTATTTCGTAACAGATTGTCTAGATGGTTATTTCGTATCAGGTTGTCTGGAGGTTATTTCGTAGCAGGATGTCTATATGGTTATTTCGTAACAAGTTGTCAAGGGGGTTATTTCGTAACAGGTTGTCTAGATGGTTATTTCGTAACAAGTTGTCTATGTAATTATTTCGTAAATTTGATTCGATTACCCTAATTAGAATGAAGTCACAAATCGAATCTGATTTATACTGCAGGATAAATGAACAATATACTATTTATAGTTTCCAAAATGGCGGCAAGGCGCGTAATGCTTTTGACATGTTGGACGCCATTACTAAAGCGGAAGTTAACAGAGCTACGACGCTCCAAAGTTGATTTACTCGATTAACGTATATCGATTTGATTCGCTGCTACAATAAATGCGCTGATTACCATAATCAAATCAGATTAACCCAGGATAAATTCGACTCTTGTAACAAGCTGTCTATGGGGTTATTTCGTAGCAGGTTGTCTAGGGGATATATTTCGTAGCAGGTTGTCTAGGAGTTATTTTGTAACGGAACCTTTTTGGGTTATTTCGTAACAGTTTGTCTTGGAGGTACTACCGAAATGATTGTTTACATTTGATACAATAACGTAAATGAATAACGACATCATTGGTTAAAATTACTACGCCTAATGTTTTGGTGATGAAGCAATGGCGTTTATGGTGATATAAACTCCACACGAATTTGTATTAATCCAATGGAAAAAATAATAGCTAATGTAAGTATATTGTAATATGCATTTGACATCAGCTATGTGTGACTGTAATAATTCAGTTTATAAGTGTGTCCAATGCAATAAGATCCAGAGTTTAGTTAACACAGACAATATATTTATATTGATATCAAATATGGCGTCCTCGGGTTAAAAACGAGTGTTAATCAAGAATTTAAAAGTTTTTATTAACGAAGTAAATATCAAATTAAAACCTCAAACTTATATCAAAACATAATAGATAAATTGATGTCATCGGGTCAAAGTTAAAAAACAGGTAATGATCATAAATATAAAAATGGTTTTATTCAAATATATAACAAAGTAAAAATGGAATTTAAAACCCAATTTTAAAACAATATATGTTTTCGGCATAACTTTCAATTTCTCAATATATGTAAAAAAAATAACAATAATAATAAATAAAAATAGTATAGTAAATTAGTTCTCAGCCGGACACCTCCATTTCTCTCTGAAAAATACAAATAATCCTTATATATTATTGTTATATATCCTGCAATTCCACTGAAACTATGCAAAATCTGTTAATATTTTTGTTAATATAATCAGTATGTAGCAATCACCGTGATTCCTGCAATTCCACTGAAAGTAGGAGTTTGATGACGTCACTATCGGAAAATCGGTTGATATTTTGTAAGGCCCTTTGTGATAGTGATGTCATAAAACGCTTAGTTTTATTGAAATTGCAGGAACCACGGATGACTGACTTGAAATTGAAATGGTAAATCGATGTTAACAGTATGCTCGATACACATAAACAGTTTTAAAAAAACTCCATGTACAATCCCTTAATAGGGCACAACTTGCTGTACTGGGAGACAAAACGAGAAAGAAGTTCTTACCTGAACAGATACTACTAAACGTTAAACTTCCTACATCACCTCCTAGAAGTAAATATCAACATCATTACAATAAATAAACACAATTTTAAATAAATACACTTGATAAACAAACACACTTGATAAACAAACACACTTGATAAATAAATAAATTTAATAAATAAACACACTGGATAATAATCACACTTGATAAATAAACACACTTGATGAATTAGCAAACTTGATAAACAAACACACTTGATAAACACACACACTTGATAAACAAACATACTTGATAAACAAACATACTTAATAAACAAACACACTTGATGAACAAACTCACTTGATAAATTAGCAAACTTGATAAACGAACACACTTGATAAATAAACTCTCGTGATAAACAAACACACGTGATAAACAAAGATACTTGATAAACAAACACATTTGATGAACAAACTCACTTGACAAATTAGCAAACTTGATAAACAAACACACTTGATAAATAAACTCACGTGATAAACAAACACACGTGATAAACAAACATACTTGATAAACAAACATACTTAATAAACAAACACACTTGATGAACAAACTCACTTGATAAATTAGCAAACTTGATAAACAAACACACTTGATAAATAAACTCACTTGAAAAACAAACTCACTTGATAAATAAACACAGTTAATAACTAAACACACTTGATAAACAAACACACGTGATAAACACACACACTTGATAAACAAACATACTTAATAAACAAACACTCTTGATGAACAAACTCATTTGATAAATTAGCAAACTTGATAAACAAACACACTTGATAAATAAACACACTTGATAAAAAAAAACTCACTTGATAAACAAACTCACTTGATAAAATAACAAACTTGATGAACAAACTCACTTGATAAAATAGCAAACTTGATAAATAAACACATTTGATGAATAATCACACACTTGATGAATAAACACACACTTGACTTGATAAATAAATGAAGTTTACTAACCCGTGGAACACTTCTTTTCACTAAAGATACTGTTAGTTTCTGGGGTGAGGTCGGGGTTATTTACATATACATCACATTTATTATCAGACCACTTTACACCGCTACATCTTAGAAATTTTCCACATAGGTCTTCACAAGATTTTAATGTATTGTCAAATACAAAAGCCGAGGAATCATCACTCGCTGAATTAGTGTTTTTTTCCCAGCAACATTTCCTACCTAATAATAACATTATATTTATTAAATGTGGTCTTACATTTGAAGTTGAAATAACGATTACAGGCGTTCAATTAACTGATTAACTGTGCTATTACACCTAATATTGAATCCTTCAGCGACATTTAGGGGTACAGATCAGATGGTAACACAAAGCAATTCAATAATGGAACACAATTTTAGGGTAACCTTATCCTGAGTTTTATTATAAAAATGAAATGAAATGAATGGAGTTTTCCGTCCTACGTTTCTGCACCATGTGGGCTAATGCAGACGGGCAACGCCATGTAGGGTGCAATGAGTGACATTTTGCCAGGACAGCGGCATTAGCCTCAGGCCCGTAGCCTGACCAGTACTCCTTGGGGGGCAAACATGCAATCGAGGAGGGCAATTTAGCAAAGCTCCTTGACAGACGATTAAACGTCGGCAAAGCCCCCCCCCCCCCCAAGCCTCCCTTTGGCTATGGGCTTGGGTTTGACAGGTGTGACAGGTGTGATAGGGAGCCAGGTGACCAGCTGTACATGAGTTTAGTAGCACGTGTAGAATGATGTAATAATTTCAACTCGCCAAAGTCCAGCGACTACCATCTGGTCTGAGGTACACCACTGACCAGCCCTAGATCATTTAGACCAAATCTAGGGTCATCACCATCCCAGCTCATTCAACTCACCATGGTCCAGCGACTACCAGTTGGTCGGAGATAAAAAATGAACAACCCATACCAGGTGTGACAGGTGTGACAGGTGTGATAGGGAGCTTGAGTTTAGTAGCACGTGTAGAATGATGTAATAATTTCAATCTTCTACGATATGGAAATAAGGAATATGATAAACTAAGTACCACCACAAAACGAAACCCGAAATCCAAATCAACATTTTCATTTTGGTGTCGCATTGGTTGCAGGAAAAAGAAAAGATGTATTTTAATAATAAAACTCAGGAGTAGTTTACCATAAAATCGCGTTGCGAAACATATATTTTTAGTAAGCTCAGTTTAGTTTTTGTGAATAGTGGAGTCTGATGTATACTCACCATCTTCACATTGTGTTTTAACATAGTGAATACTGCCTATTATAGTTGTGGTAGTAATGACGTCAGTATAGAATTGACAGGATGTTCTACGAATGGTAACAGACCGACAGTGGTCGACCACCTGACACAGACCCAGACAACTGGTAGAAGACAACTCGAGTTTAAAATATACCTCACTTCCTCCCATTTTATCTTCTCTTCTTCTCATTATACATTCTCCTAGAAAACAGACAGACAAAATTCTAGCTGCCTTTAATATCACCCCGAACAATCATATCTGGCCACGGCCCTGCTCATCATTGTTATAACATTTACAAAAATGTCAAATTGAAAAATCAACTTAAAAGTGGAAACATTGTCTTAAGATAATGAAAAAGACGGTTTATATTTGAAAATATCAAAAATACGATAGTAGAGCAAGCATTTAACTTACCCTGTTGGCTGACACCAGTCTTGGATCCAAGTGTTGAAGGCTCATGTGTAGTCGGTTTTTGAGTGGTCGGTTTGTGAGTGGTCGGTTCGGGAGTGGTGGGTTCGGGAGTGGTCGGTTCAGGAGTGGTCGGTTCGGGAGTTGTCGGTTCAGGAGTGGTCGGTTCAGGAGTGGTCGGTTCGGG